AATTTGGTCTGTACTTGCTACTGTTTTGTTAACAGTGCTGGTAACAGATATGATGTGTATTTGGCGCGATTTTGGCGCCAACAAACGATCACCAAATCTGTTCTGGATTTGGTGCGTCACTTTGGCTTTGCTTTGCTAGTGGNAGACTTGTTATGATTTTGGTTTCATTTTGCCATCTCACATGTTTGACAGATATGGTCGCCAAACCATATCCTAATGAGGACACAGATGGATATGGATTTGGTCTACTACTTTCGCCGGCGGTTGGCGACAAAACTGCGACATCTCGCAACCAAATTGTTTGCTGGGATTATGCTATCATTGAGTTTTCTGATGGATTGCAACTGATACCAAGCAATTGGTTAAATGAGGACATGTCAATGGCTCGATGGCCCACTTTGACAAATGTACAGCGCTATGAGAAGGCTATTCGAAACATGGAACCACCTGAGGAATCATGGACNAACATTCCAGTAATAAAAGTGATGGCCAAGGATTGTAAGTATAAATTTTTCGTAATAATTGAAACAATATATTACACTTTTTTTTTCTTTGACACACATTTTTTATTACTAAAATAATATTCATGTTTTCTATGATGTTGGTTTTTGAAGTAATAAGTGCGTATATCTGTAATAGAATGACGTTTCGCACACTACAATGTAAAATGCCAAGTCCTTAAATCACTGAAGCCTTACATATTTAATATGCATGTATATTTTTTATGTTTAGAAAATATTTGTATCATTCTTATTTTTAGCATCGTATGAGAAAGCTAAGGCCAAGCTAAAAGATGCAGAATTATTAACGGATTTTGATGAAAATTCAGACGCAAGAGCAGAAAAGTTAAAGCGATCTAGAAAAAAAAGAGCACGAGTGAGCACAAGCAGCTGCGACGAAGAGGAATTTGATGGAATTGAAGTTCAATTAGACCCTTTTCCCCATCCTTNTCAAACCATCAATTCAAAGAATACTTTCATTAACACTTACAAAGCAAAGAAAGAAAAAGGTAACAATGCAGAATAAGAAATGCTAATTAGTCACATTTACGCAGAAATGTTATAAATGCTAATCGCAGATTATTTATTGAGTATTAATTTTATTTAAAACTATTTTATTGTACGACAAGATTCCTCAATCAAAAGTTATACTGTACAATTTTCTAGTATTATTAGAACATATAATATAGATGTTTTTATTTATTACTTGTAAAGATTCCCATTATTCCTTCAAAAATAATAATGTAATATATTTTATTGTACTTTTTAGCTGTTTCCATAAAAAATGGTAACCAACACTTGGCCGTAAATGATTCAACGCCACAGA